TCTGAAGTATAATTTTTTATTGTTTTTATATTTTTCAATATATTTATTTTGTTTGTACAAAATAAAAAAAGAATTTTTAATGATACAATAGTCTTCGTTAGGCTTAACATCGACGAAAATTCAGCGCGAAGCGACATGCAACGGAGAAAAATTTCAACATGTGATAGGTTAATATATTTTTTCGTACATAATTGGTTATCCGAAATATCGATTTTCTGAACAACCCCAGTCCCCAATTGATTCGGATAAACAATACTCTACTGTATTTAGGATATATTTTGCATAATTTGCAACTTTAAATTTACAAGCAGTAAAAGTGATTTTGTAACTTTTCAATGTCAACCAAAAAAGTCTCATCCAATTCTTCATATGTGATTTTCTATGTAACTACATCAGTAAAATTAATATATCTTCAGTGCTTTTGGAATAAAAAGGGTGTAAGGGACTTTTGACTCATCCTGTATTTATAAAAATATTCATATAATGTTTTGGTATAAGAATATAAAGAAGTATCAGCAGAGCTATTTTTCTGCTGGAATGCACTGGTATGTCATACCAACAGATAACATAATAGCCAGTATAAGTATCAATAGCAGCACATAGTACCAACAGTTGCTCAGTAAGAAAAATTCTATATGTTCAGGTGAGAAATCTGGTGTCTGGCATGATTGAAAATGAATGAAACAAACTAGACCACTCTATTGGCCACAATAAATGCTATGAGCTAATTGGAGCTGATATAAAAAGAAAATGGGGTAGCAACCTCTATTGTTTAAGGCCAACTTTTGATTAGTGGAAAATATTTCTTAATAATAATTAGCAGACAAAATTGTCCATTTATCAAAAGATGTGTATTGTTTGTCATTAATAGAATAACAGACAATATACATTTTTAAAATAATAAATGTAGAGTGGACAGACAATTATTGTATGTCCATTCTACATTCTTGTCAAGAAATGAGATATGGAAAAGTACTGATGATAGTATTTTGAAAGTAAAAAGTTGAATGTAAAAAAATTTGGAAAATACTATAAATGCTACTATATAAATGTGTACATTTATAGAGAAAAAATAAACAGTTAATGGTATTAAACACTGATTTTACTTTTCCAGCCATTATATATACTGTATATAAGAAGGGAAAGAATTGAGAATTGTGTCAAATTTGATCCCTTGAATTTATTGCAAATCTCATGGTTTGACTCAAAATAGTAGGGGGAAAAAAAGGAAAAATCCATGTGTGTGTTGGTGTCATTTATGAAATAGACACCATCACACACACGGATTTTATAGTTAAATAAGTAATATTTTTCTTTGTATCAATTTATATAGATCACATGGTTTACAGTCACAAAATAAATAAATATTTTTTTCTTCAGGAGCTCTTCCTTCTTTATATTCTGGAGATTTTCAAAAAGGATGGAAAATTTTAAACAGAAAGCAGGTATGTACTACAAGAGTAATGGTAGCTTTTTTTTAATACAAAACATATTTAGGTAGGAAGTTTTTTTACTTATAAAAGATACTTATAAAATTTTTAGATATTGTATTTATAAAATAGTTTTAATTTTTTTATACTATGATGCCAAATTTCATCAAGAATGTTTTTATGATTAAAATGTTTTAATTACAAAAATTATGCTTAAATTATGTTTGGCAATTAATGTAAAATAGAATTTGATTTTAAATATAATTAAATAGTATTACTAATAAAACACACCTTTAATAATCCAGCTAATAAAAATTAATAATATAATAATGTTTTTGATTGTTTCTTAACGATCTTCTTCAGTTACCATAGCATAGAATAAAATCGAACACAAAAAAGAACGATTGTTTGAATTATTTATTTATTTTTATTTGTTAAGTGACATTTTTTCGGATTAATTTATATTTTTCGTTTATTTTATCTACTTTTCCGTTATTTATATTTTAATTTCGTATTTACGTTCTTTTTTGTGTTCGATTTTATTCTATGCTATGGTAACTGAAGAAGATCGTTAAGAAACAATCGAAAACGTTATTATATTATTAATTTTTATTAGCTGGATTATTAAAGGTGTGTTTTATTAATANCTTATCTTTCCTTGTGACACCACTCATCCATCTCAGCATCTACATTTCTGGAATATGCATCTTCTGTACCTGTATACTTATATAACGAACGAACTGGATAAATATATTACTAATAAAACACACCTTTAATAATCCAGCTAATAAAAATTAATAATATAATAACGTTTTCGATTGTTTCTTAACGATCTTCTTCAGTTACCATAGCATAGAATAAAATCGAACACAAAAAAGAACGATTGTTTGAATTATTTATTTATTTTTATTTGTTAAGTGACATTTTTTCGGATTAATTTATATTTTTCGTTTATTTTATCTACTTTTCCGTTATTTATATTTTAATTTCGTATTTACGTTCTTTTTTGTGTTCGATTTTATTCTATGCTATGGTAACTGAAGAAGATCGTTAAGAAACAATCGAAAACGTTATTATATTATTAATTTTTATTAGCTGGATTATTAAAGGTGTGTTTTATTAGTAATATATTTATCCAGTTTGTTCGTTATATAAGTATAATTAAATAGTGTAAGATTATTACAAATATTTAAATGTTGCCAGGGAAATTAAGCAACTTGTTGATGGATTTTTTATATTAGGTCTAGTTTTCTACAGGGTAATTGGGCTGCAGTTTACAAATTGCAGACTTGTACATTCCTACTGTCATTCATCTGTCTGTCCTTCATTAATCTCAAGAACAAAGATAGATGTAAATTGAGACAGATATGGAAAACTTACCAGAGGCCCCAATTAAATATATATGAATTTATGGTCTAGACTGGAAATCATGAGTTTTTAATTCAAAATTTTATCCAGTACAGAGTTAGACAGATGACAGGCACCAGTAAAATACATACCAGGTGTTGAAAGCTTACGGGCTGGAGACCTTGATTAACTATATATGAACTTCCAGTTTGGACTAGAAGTCATGTGATTTTTTTTAAATTAAAAGATAATTAAAAATTGCTGCCTGGCATTATGATGATGTCACGATAAATAGTTGCTCATTATTAAATAAAATATTTATAAACTAAAGCTTAAACTGTCTTATATATGCATGAACTAAAAATATTTACAGAAAGTTTAATATATATCAATAACGTAACTATATCCTCAAATGTTAACATTTATTTACATTGTTATTTAATAGGATATTTCAGATAGTGAATGGATGTTTTTCAAAAATGCCATTAATTTAACTTGGATATGGATTGTTGGACAAATTATCACCACTCAAATATTTTTAAGAAAAAATTGTGAGGTAAAACTATTATAAACTACTTACTTGTTAGTATAATTATGTTAATTATAATGATCTAGAGTATTTCATTGTGTCATGTTTATTTTTAATGTAATTTAAATAATTGTTGTTAATTATCAAATATTTTATGTATTTATTCCATACATAAAATATTTGATATTTAGCAGGAAAAAAGTCAGTTTATTCTAAATGTTCTTGGGCTCTCTTGTATATTGTCAATAAATTCTGACAAGTTTACAGAAGTATTTCAGATTTATCATGGAAATAAATATAATGAAATGATAATGTTAACAATGTTAAGCATTTCACAGGATAATTTTAATAAGAATTCTGCAGACTTTAAAGAATTAAAAGCTAGTGGCTTTCTTACTTCAGTAACACATCACACAAGGAACAGTTGATTTAGTATATTTTATTAAAGGAAATGCATTTCGGGTCTTAATGACCCCTCTTCAGTCCTTAGAATGGTTGATTGTTGGTTACAATTGACATAAGAGAGTACGCCGGGTAATTGACTTGGTAATCAGTTTACTAGGTTGCTGCAGAGTTCAGATCATCTTTGAGTATGCGGTTGCACTTGTAGAACTGCAAACTCAAAGATGATCTGAACTCTGCAGCAACCTAGTAAACTGATTACCAAGTCAATTACCTGGCGTACTCTCTTATGTCAATTGTAACCAACAATCAACCATTCTAAGGACTGAAGAGGGGTCATTAAGACCTGAAATGCATTTCCTTTAATAAAATATACTAAATCAACTGTTCCTTGTGTGATGTGTTACTGAAGAAAGAAAGCCACTAGCTTTTAATTCTTTAAAGTCTACAAAAAACCAGTAATGGAAACTTAATTAAAAGAATTCTGCAGATAACTTTAATCATAAAAACTTTAAATTAAACTGGATAAATTTATAAACTGTTTTAATTTATAAATCATGAAAATTAAATTTAAAATATTAATTCAGTAATATACTGTAATATGGCAATAGAAAATTTAATATAACAAATTGAAGTCGAATATTTTTTATACTCTGTATTAGTTTCTTCTATTACATAATAGATAATGCTATTCTCTCTTAAGTTTATATATTTATGAAATTTGAAATTTTTTTCTCGCAGTTATCACTGTTTTATAGTCAGTTTTATGACCTAAAATCCTTCAGTCCTTTTATTAGTTCCTATTGGATTGTTGTGGATTACTTTCAACATTGGACATTACAGCAAATAAAAAAATTCTGCAAAATTTGATAAAATAAATTCTTTTATTTTTCAGAAATATTGTAGTTCTTTAAAAATTATTCTAAATTATCACAAAATTTAGTTTAGTTTATTGTAACATATTCTAACTAACAGGCTTTTTTTATAAGATTAGATAATGAAGTTTATTACGTATTTTAGAGATTCCTTTCCTCTGAGTTTATTCATATATTTTGCATTCTGAAAATAAATAAATAAAAACATGAAATTACTTAACTAAATTTAGATTTCTAGAAAAACTTGGAAAGGGTTAACTTATTCCAGTTACTTTCATTTATAATATATTGATTAATTTAATTAAGCAATGCACCATTCTAGAAAATACCCAGCAGTGTATTTGTATTTTTAAATACTTTAAAAAGTCTATAGTTGGATCCAACAAAATGTCGGAACAGATGGGAGATGATAATGATTTTATATAAAGCTAATGAATTATGATATAAATTTTAGTATGATATTTATGAAATATGATTATTGCAGATTTTATCTTGGTTAGTTTCTAAATATCTACACTAAAAATGATTGATTTGGTACTCATAATTTTTGTAGTTGTAAAATTATTGATTACTTTCATAAAACATCAACTAATAGAAGTATTGATTATAAAAATATAAAGTTGTTATTTAATGACATACATGATAAACTGATTTTGTTAGGAATTAATAATTTATATAAACTTAAATTATTTAAGATAATAAAATTTAAATTATTTGAAAAATTTTGATAATGAATGTAAGAAATTTTTGTTATTTTAAATTAGTTATTCAAATAATAATAATAATAATAATAATTGAGAAATTAAAAGCATTTTACATATAAAATAAATATTTGAATTTTTTTACAGTATCTGTCATTGTTCTACAGTGTATATTCAGTTGCATTTTTCATCAATTTTATTGGGATTATTCCCACATTATTTTACTTGAGTTGTATATGTTTTACATATATGATTTGTAAAACTTCAAATCAAATCTTATGCCTCACTATTGCTGTTTGTGCTCTGTATGCAACAAGCTATTCACATTATGGATACATAAAGGTAAAGGAATATATTTTATTTGAATTAATTATTTTTGTATTACTATCTTAAATACAACTTTCACAATTATAAAAAATTAGAAACATTCTCTATTAGAGAAAAAAATTTACCTAATAATTCAGAGCTCTTCATAGTAAAAACTGCTGGTACTTTTGCTGATTTTAACATGGTACTTAAAGTAATCACANAATTAAAAGCATTTTACATATAAAATAAATATTTGAATTTTTTTACAGTATCTGTCATTGTTCTACAGTGTATATTCAGTTGCATTTTTCATCAATTTTATTGGGATTATTCCCACATTATTTTACTTGAGTTGTATATGTTTTACATATATGATTTGTAAAACTTCAAATCAAATCTTATGCCTCACTATTGCTGTTTGTGCTCTGTATGCAACAAGCTATTCACATTATGGATACATAAAGGTAAAGGAATATATTTTATTTGAATTAATTATTTTTGTATTACTATCTTAAATATAATATTTTGTATAAGTAATAGGTGAGAAAATAAGACAATATTGATGATAATGAATGAAATAATTCAAAAAAACAGAAATGAAAATACTGTCATTGTATTACATGGACATCTTCAGTTGGAACAGATATAAAAATTATATTTGTTTTAAATGAATCAGCATTCAATTTATGTGTATTTGGATCAATGCATCAAGTGAACAAATAGCTAACATGGGATGATTAATAATCAGAAAAATTATATACAAAAGTAAAGATCTGATTGATAGAATTAACAGATTGTAAATTACACTGCAGTGTTTAAAATTGCATTAGTAGAGATTTAATGTAACGAATCTACTTTTACACAAAATTTACTCACTGACAAAAATTATATCCACCAAAAAAAAGAAGAATTTAAATTAAATGAAACTTTATTAGTTTGAATATGATGATGACAATAAATGACCACAATATCAAAGTAAAGGAACAATTCCCTTTGAAACAATGGCACAATTTAAAAAAGCTTTAGTACATTATAGGATATCCCTTTGTCAGGATATATGTCATGATATAGTCAGCCATTAAGGCATACAGGCTATCTTGTGACAGATTTTTCTACAAATGCTATAACTGCCACTCCAGATTCCTTGCACTCATAGATAGATGAAGCTGATGTCCCATCTGGTTTTGCAAATGCTCAATGGGTAACAAATCTGGAGACTGGGCAGACTAAAGAAATGTGATGGAGATATTTCTGGAAAATCTAGCTGTGTATAGCAGAGCATTATCTTTGTTTTGTGTTATTTTAATTTAAAATGACATTTCTTTAATTTTGTTGATATAAGCAATAATGATTTGTTACAAAGTGACATTGTTATTTTTGATGAGACTATACCTTGTCTCTAAAATTGCACTGCTGTCAATGGCTGCACACCTTAGAAGTATGAAAGAGTACTGTACATGTCAGGAGTTGCAATTTGGCACAGAGTATTTGGTGCCCAAATCATGCGCACATAAAATAAACCAGACTTTGTAGGTAGTCAGGGGACTGAGAACCGAGTCAAAAAAAAATATGAAATGCTAAGACTGTTTCTACAAACAGGCGTGAGTGCAAGATTTGCACGTGTTGCTCATGCTCTCCAAGACATAGTCTCATCTCAAAAATGGCTTTGTCGTTTTACTTGTTAAGTGATGAAAATTTTATTATTAAAGTTTTGATTCTGAGATATTATCAATCATTCATTTTTAGATTTACATTTCTAAATTTATTTAGAATATTATTAAACTTATTACTTTAATTAAACTTTTGAAAATGAATTCTTGATTTTGATATAATATATAGTTGTATCAAAATGTACCATGTATAAATAAGATTTTTTTATGGTTATATTTATACTTAAACTAAAATTTAAAATCTTCATATATAAAAATACATTCCTATTTGTTTGAACACATCGAATTTTACTTGTGTTTCTCACCCTCTAGCAGATGATAAAGGAGAAGTCTATATTGTGATTGATTCACAATAAAGACTTCTCCTGAGTGATGATGAATGGAACCTGTGAGTATTAAGCAAAATCAAAGTCATATACTGTATTTACTTACATATAAGATGAGCTTTTTATTCATTTATCATAGCTTCAAATTCCTAGGTTGTCCTATATGCGCAAGCAAAAGATTCTTTGTGTTTTTGCAAATATTTTTTGTGAACTGTGTATTTGCATTTTTTATTGGATGTGTACCCTCTTGTATTTTAAAACAAAAGTATTTTATCTAAGTCATTTGAATCGTTCTTGTAGTAAAGATGAATAACAATAGGAAAAGCAAAGCTTTTGAATTGAATTCCAGATTGAAATTCCAAAATCACATGGGAGCACAATATAAGATTTAATCCATTCCCATGTGAAAACAGATGATTACTTGGAAACCAGAATTTGAAGAAACTCATAAGTTTAATCAACAGAGTGGATCTGACTGTTAAGAATTGGCAAAAAAAAGATTCACAATTGTCCAGCTTTACATGAACAAATTATGTTTTCGATTTTACAAGATTTTCCTTAAAAGTTTAAAATTCCAGTAATTTTCGCGGGACAATGTGTGCATTTATTTCATTTGATATTTTACTTGTGATTACACAAAATAAAATTAGAATTGTATTAATAAATCTAATTTTCTTTATTTTGATCTTTAAAGTCACACCTCATTCTATATGCAAGTTTGTCTTATATGTGAGTAAATAAAGTAGTCTACAATGTCTGATTTTCTCATGCCTCACATCAATAAATCAATTAATTGTTTAAATTTTTTTAGAATTATAGCAAATAATAATGCAATAAATAAAATCTTTATTGCAATAAATAAGATCTTTAATGCTTTCAACATCTTTTGTCTTTATCTTCTGTAAGAATAGTCATTAATTTTATATAACTCATAGTAAGTGTTAAAACTTTTGCAGTGAATGGTTATAATTTAACAATTATTACAAAATTATATCATTAATACAAATAAACATTAATTGGCATTGATCATACAATAAAATGTTTAAATGTATTTACTACATAAGACCTGATTTATGATAAATGCATATTTTTAACAGTAAGTAATTATTTTTATATTACAGAAAATTTTTATTGAAGATGAAACTAAAAGTTTTCTTTTTGATATTGGTTTGGGATGGTTAATGGCAAGATGTGTCAGTTTTTCTGTAGACAAAATCAATGGAAAAGTTTTGAAATTTTCTTTTGAAGAAATAGTTGGAATAATTGCTTATTGTTTATATTTGCCTGTGTTTTTTACTGGACCACTTATAAATTACAACTGTTTTAGGAAACAGGTAAGAAGTAGCATTATTAATAATTAATCACATTCTTAAATTCTTGCTGTGTTTTAGTAAGAGGAATGCTACTATGGCTGCAATATCATGTTACTCAAAATTAAAATAGGATTGATGTATTTTTTTAAGTTTCAAAACACAATATTCATAAATGAAGTGAGATTTGACCCTATAATTTGATAAATTACATTGTTAATTTCAGAGTTTATTAAAACATTACAGTTTGTTAATGTGTTTGATGTTTGTAGTCAGTTTGAAAAAAGTACATTGACATTGAAAATTATAATTATGATTTTTGAAATATTAGTATTTCTGCAATTCTGATTGGAAAAAATAATTTAATATAAAATATATTTTTATATTGCAAACCTATAAAAATAATTTATTATGTTAATTTTTCAGTATTAATAAGTGTTCATACTACATCTGCAAAATTAACATTAAAAAATATTTGTTTTGGGATACATTTTTTAAGAAGTATTAACAGAAATTTAATTTTTTGTACTATAAATTTTGATTTTGCTATCAATGGCTGCACACCTTAGAAGTATGAAGAAATACATTGTCAGGAGTTGCAATTTGGCATAGAGTATTTGGTGCCCAAATCATGCACATACAAAATAAACCAGACTTGTAGGTAGTCGGGATCGAGAAATGGGTCAAAAGAAAATATGAAATGCTGAGACTGTTTTTACAAACAGGTGCAAGTGTGAGATTTGTGCATGCATTGCTCGCACNTTATATACATATATATATATATATATATATATATATATTTGTTAAAGAAGCTTTAAATATAAATCTAATTCAAGTTGCTTCTCTTGGTACAAAATTTTTTTAGACTATTTTAACTTTAATTCTTCCAAAATATTAAAATCAAACATTCCATGATTAATTTTATTGATAGAATATCAAGAAATATGCTTAAATTAAAAAAATTAGAACACAATTGTCTCATTTATAAGTTAGGATGGCTCATATGTCAAAATTCTCATTGAAAACTACAAGTGAATGCATATGTGCAGGTATGATAGCAATATAAAGGATGAAAAAAGTAAAAAGTATAGCTTAAAAAAATGTAATATAGTAATCTAGTGTCATAATAACTGCAAGATAACTTAGACATAAGTTTTATTAATATAACTTAAGTTGTTTCCCACATAAATGTAAATTTAGGATCACAATATATGCCATTGGGATAAAATGTTTTTTGAAATTTGTTTAGCAAGTTTTTGATGATTAATTTTCTCTAATTGTAGATTGAAATTTCACTTTAAATATACGGATATATCTAAAGAATTTAAGTACCTAATTTTGTTCTTATTTTATACTTATTTTAAACAATTTTTAATATTGTAAAACAATATAAAACACTTTTTCACTTAATTATTTCATGTTCACTAGAAATTTCAAATAAATANAGACCCTTATTAGCGAGGTTGAGGCCGAAGTTTTAAACGCGAAAACGTGTACGTCGGACGTTCAGCGCCGCTTTCCTGTAAGCCTAGAAGTTTGACAATGGTGTTTTGGATAGTCAGTGGAATCATGCTCGACATTCCAAACAGCATTGTCAAACTTCTATACTCACAGGAAAGCGGTGCTGAACGTCCGACGTACACGTTTTCGCGTTTAAAACTTCGGCCTCAACCTCGCTATTAATTGACTTTCTTAAACCGATAACCGTTATAAAATTAACTAAACATTTTTCAAATAAATAAATTTAATTGAATATAAATATTAAAATATATATGCACAAATATAAGACATTAAAACAAAAATCGGCCATTAAAATTCAAATAAATTTCAATCGGTTTTCTGAAACATTCGAAACCCAGTTCATTGATAAAATTAAAATTAAAAATAAAGAACACGATTAATACACAGAAGTCCTAAAGGAAATGTTTTCCTGCTTATTCGAAAATCCATTGAAGTATTATCATCCTGTCACATCCGAGACTAATGGAAAGATTTGGGTTTTGAGGTCATATACAAAGCGAACTGTCAAATCCGAGTTACGATGTCTAGTCCGGTAAATAAAGTCACAGGTCGGTAAAATGCATCCCTTTTTATCACATTGGCAAACTGGAAGATTTGTACCACCTTGGCACAATTATAAACTCCAATGTCTCCAAATTCTTGAATTCCTCCAGTTCTTTTCTTTTGGCTTTTCTGAGATGAGGGCTGAAAATAAAATTAAACATTGTGAAGAGCAAAAATTGAATTAAACATTTAATCTACGAAAATTGCACTTATCCGAAAAGACGATTCCGCTAACATCCGAAGATGTTACTCGCATCGTCCATACCAGGATCCATTTTCGATTTCATGCAACCACCAAAGTGAGTATTTCTTCTCTTTCTTTAGCAGATTCTTTAATTTTGGGGGTTCCCCTCCGATAAAATGGTCCGAATGGAGTTTATTTCGATCGGACATTTTCCGATCGGAAAATGTCCTTTGTTTACATTTCGGACTCAATCTCGTCGTAGCTCATATGAACCAATTTCAGTCTGAATGTTTTAGATTGATTCCAATGGAGCTTAATTAATTTAAGAAGCCGTCCCTGATCTACAATATAGCTGTAACATTCGAAACCCTGTGTTCACTTGAAATATTAGGCCTTTGTACAGGATTTTTAAAAAGGTAGGATTTAAAAAAAAAGAGACATTACCTTTTCATAACGCAATTTATTAATTTTTACTATATAATTATATAAAGTAACAATACAATATACAAAGTAGGAACTAAACGGATTAAAACTAAATACTGTACGAGCAATTATTTATTGTGCATCGTCACAATGCCGGGCTGCAATTTTTTTAATCATATTTTTAATTAATTTAATTTAAAATATATGCTCTCCATCTCAAATTAGTAGTGGCTTGCCCCCTGTACATCATACTTTTCCTTCAACAATGAAGTCGTATCAGTCATATATCTAACATCTTTCAGGGGAAAATGTTTGAATTGAAATAACGTGACTTCCCGTATAGACCAGAAATTTGTTTATAGTTAATCGGGGTCCCCTACCCCTAAGGTTTCCATGTCCGGTATTGACATTCATCTATCTAATATCGTTCTCGAGATTAAAGGAGGACACTGACGACAGTGGAAATTTATAGGTTACAATTTTTTTTTTTCAAATTGCACCCCAATAAGTTATTAAATATATACAACATGGCCTACTGTTTTATTAACATATTACGATTTAACGACCGAATAAACGAAGGTGTTAATAATTAAGGCATCAGTCTACTGTTTTGGAAGAGCCGGTATCTAATCCTAGTGAGCAATTTCCTAGGAATTTTCCATGGTCGGTCTGTTCCAGATATGTCGGGTTCCTTCCCTTATCAGTCAGAGTGACGGCCCCATTGTGAGCCTGAGCAAACTTACGATAGGCATGGGAAAAAATATCCTAGTGCCCACAGAGCTGAAAGAATTAAAGTACCCAAAACCTCGTGTTCGTGATCCTAGAAAATATAGTATATATACACTCCATTCCATTTTTTTAACTCTGCCCTGTGAGTACTAAAAGGACCTCTTATAGCAAGCCCATTATGTTTTGTTGTTTGTTAAGTTATGGCAACGCAACACTTGGGCGATCTGCCTAGGGGATGCCTTCCGGGAGGTCTTTTTAAGGGAAACTGGCCCCTGTTTAGGCGTTACAGACGTGGAGAAAACCCGGAAAACTCCACGTGGCCAGCCCGTCCGAGCGAGCGCGAACCCACGACCGAGCTCCCAATGTTCAGAGTACGAAGACCTCTCGGCCAGTGGTGGGCCCAAGCCCATTATGGAATTCGGCCAGGCCACAATGGAGCGGCCGGGTGGTGAGAGACGGATCCTGATACATGGAATAAATTTGCACTAAATAATTCTGAATTTTAGACACATTCCGTAGAATTACTGTAGATATACAGTATATAATTGACGATCGAATGGCCGAGCGGTCATGCTGCAGCCTATCGCTCTGAGGACCGGGTGGAACGGGTGTCCTTCCGAATACGTCGGGCCCCGTCTCTCACCACCCGGCCTTCCCATCGTGGGGTTGGTTGAACCCATAATGGGCTTGCTAAAAGAGGTAATCTTAATGCCCACAGAACGGAAAGAGTAAAAAAAAATTACATATATANTGTTTTTAAATAATGTTACTCTTACATAATTAGAATTGTTAAATTTCTGCAGATTTTATTATACATATATAAAATTCAGTGTTCTTTTTGAGAAGATGTTACCAAAGACATCTATTAAAATCACAGAAAATTTTGTTAAATTAAAAGTTTTCACTGAACAGTTAAGGTTAATAACATTCATTTGTATTCTACAAGCCATGCTAATTGATTTATATGTATAATATTATTTATATAAACCTGTTAACATTCCACATAATCTGCAAAATTAACAATGCAAAAGATCTTTTTGTTAATCACAATAAAAAGTAATTGATTAGTGATTTGTTTTTAAATTATGATGCTGTCTAAAATAGTTTATTTCAAATAGATAAATTATTTGAAATAAATCATAATGCTTTAAAATTATTTGTAACTCTACAATAACATAAAAAACAAGTAAATTATTGCTGTAAAAGTACAGTAATACCTCGACTTACGTGAACCTGGAGTTACGTGATTTTCAAATCTTGTCGATTCGTCTTTTGTTTGAGCGCCACGCAACTCTTGATTACTCACTCCTCCACACTATTGTTCAGTTTACATGTAACACAGTTTACAGTTTGGATGTGTCATGCAAAATTGACACAGCTACAATTTATTTTGTGTTATTTATTTCCGTGTTTGTTATATCTACGGACACTTGAGAGACTCTATGTGGTGATTTCTTGTAACCGTGAACGAATCAAAAGATGAGATAAGATTAATGAGAACATTTATTAGCTTACATACATCCGACTTGGATTTTACACAAATTGCAAAATTATATCCCGACTTATGCGAATTCGACTTACGCGGTCATCGCTCGGTCCCACCTATCGTGTAAGTTCGGGGTATTACTGTATTTCCATTTTCTTAAGTGTTAAGATTATAATTAAACTAAGTATAGTTAAATCAGTTTTAATAATTATTTAAAATTTTATTGTATTATACTTTCAGAAAGAAATATCTCATCCAATTGTATACAGACATATTAGAGCATTTTTTGGAACTTTTTCATTTATATTAATGTGCTTATCTTGTATGTTTTTTCTGTCAAATTATGAAGTTGGGATGCATTTTGTAAATAAAATTATTTTTGGTAAGTTGATAAT